AGCTTTAGGAAGGTTAGGAACCACTGTTCTAAACCAAGTGAATCTTCTGAGACCCACATACAAGCTTACTAAAGCATACTTTTTCCTCTCTCCTGATTTACCTCTATGAACTTACTCATATAGATCAGTGTTTTCCAAAGTGAGTGATACCAGCCACAGGGGAGGGAAGGGGGCGCACTGGAAAAATCCAGGACAGGTGCTAAAGCAGAGACCTACAGTTTATCCTGGATTATGGGCTAGAGTACAAAAGTTTTTCATTGCAAGAGGGGTGCTGCATGAGTTTTTCCGAATAGAGAGCAGTAAGCAGGCCAAGTAAGTTTGGGAATCGATCATTTAAACTGACATTCTTTTTGTCCCAGCAAAGGATTAATATCCTTTATTTGGAATGAAGGGATTTAAAAGATAGTATTTTAGCAGTTATGTTTTCTCAATGATAGAAAACAACAATAGTTCTGAGTAGAGTGAAGGTCAACCTATATACTAAACTCACTCACGTACCTACTGGTGCTGTCAAATGCCTCCTTCATCACTGAGAAGCCTTCAGGGGTGTCAAGCCAGGCTTTAACTTCTGCAGAGTCACAGGCTCGAGGAAGACGCACCACGGGCCCTCGAGTCATCCCATCAGCAAGCACTCGGCTGCTGGCACCTCCACCAAGCTACAAGTATGTTCCAGAAGCACATGTTAGTCCAGCAATATATATTGATCCTGAAAACACATCTGCTTGTCCCAAAAGGTGTCCTTGATTGTATCCAAATCCCTTCTGCCTTGAAAATATGTAAATGCCAACTTACACCTATTGCTCTGCAGCCTCTGTTAGTGCTGGCCACAAGACAACCTTCTGTTGTTGCCATCGGAACCTGAAACTCTTTTCCATCCAAGCACAGAGGTCCTGCCACTCCTACCGGGATGGGCATGTATCCAATCACATTTTCACAGCAAGCTCCCATCACCTAAAAGGTAAAATCAAGTCAAGCAGTAAGTAAAAATCTGCATCATAAATACACAGCCCTTTGTCATCAATGACTTTCTTCAATAGGTATTTTTCACACTAGTTTTAACTACCCTTTAAAGTGTTTAAAATAAAACTACTATAAATACGAGCAAGGAAGATATTTGAAGCTTTTATGATCCATATCATCAGCCTGATTACAGCCAAGAGAACTCCATAGGACAGTTAGAAGCGGCAATACATGTGGTTGCCATTAGTCAGACTTGCGCTCCTAAGCAGAATACAAAACTACATTAACATAATCTAAAGAGAAAACGGATTTCTAAAACTATGTATAAATCAAAGACTAGTCAAGAAAACGGATCAAAAGCAACAAGGCAGACTGCCTCTAATTAATAAAATCACTTACCAAGGAGTAATTATAGTCCCTGTAAGGTAGATACTGCAGAGAAGAAGGCTCTGGGAGCTTTTTGGAAAGCATTTGTCGGCGAATAGATACACCTCGCTCATGAGTTTCCATCAGGGTTTCCAATTTATAAGCTGGGATATGCTTAGCATTGACTAATCGGATGACTTCAGCATCACTAAGGAATTTTGCACCTTTCTAAAACAAACAAACAAAAAAAAACGGGGAGAGGGGGGAGAGAAAGGAAAATAGATGCTGAAAAGATAAAGGCTTTACCACTTATTGCTCATAAAAAACATTTCAATACAAATTCCTACCTAAAAATAATTAATCTTGTATAACACATCACCATTGTTTTTGTAAAACAAAGATATACATACCATGTGTACTTCCCCCAAAATTGATTATCAATCATGCCAAGTGAAAATAAGACTCTATCAGGTTTTTCCCATAGTAGTTTTTATACTGCAAGACTAGTGCATTTAAAACTTTTTTTAAATAGGCACTACATTACATGATTAAAATAAAGGGTATAAATAGGTATATACGAAAACATCTTCCTCCCAGCCCTTCTTTCTTTCACCTACCTAGTTCTTTATCTGCATTCAAGTAGCTCAACAGGCAACCACTGTTTTTCTTCTTTGTGTATCTTTTCTAAAGATTTCCATTATTTATTCATACTCCAATTTTATATATAATTTCTCCCCTTTTAATCAAGATGGTGGTAAGAATGTTATTTTTTTCATTTAAAATGTAAGGGGGCTTTAAACAGGAAAAATTGAAGTAAAAGGTAAAGGAATTTTTTAATGAACTTGTTATGAAGCTTTTCCCATATCTGTACATAAAGTTTCTTCATTCTTGCTATAGGTAAGTAATATTCCATTATATAGCCATGCCATAACTTAGTTGAACTCTAAAGATCATTTCATTTAGCTTGCAAAATTTTTCCATTACAGAAGATACGGAAATGAATAACCTTACACATGTCATTCATAAACTGATTTTATTTTTTATTTTATTTTTATTTGCTTCTTCCATGTGGGCTTTGTTACTGGGCCACTCTTACAAATCTTCTAACAATCCATCGTTTGTACTAAGCACACTTGTATATATGTTGCCATCAACATTTCCCAATCATTTTCTTTCTACTTGAGCCCTTGGTATGTGCTCTTTTTTCCCCTCCCTCCCTTCCCCCGTGAATCCTTGATTAATTATATATTATTGTTATTTTGTGTCTTACACTGTCCGTTGTCTCCCTTCACCCACATTTGTTACTTGTCCCCCCCGGGGGTGGGGGTGGGCTATATAGCCAATCTTGTGATAGGTTCCCCCTTTCTCTCCCTCCCTTTCCGCAGCTCCCCACTTCTCTACTCTCATGGTATCTCCATTCCCACTACTGTTCCTCAGGATTTTATCTGTCCTGAAATCCATGTGTCAAAAGCTCTTAGCTGTACCAATGTGTGTACTCTGGTCTAGCCAGATTTGTAATGTAGAACTGGGTCATGGTAGTGGGGGGCAGGAAGTACTCAAGAACTAGAGGAATGATGTGCTTCGTTGGTGCTACACTGCCCCTGGTTGAACCGTCCCTTCTTTATATCCCTTCTGTGGGGGGATGGCCAATTGTCTACAGATGGGCTTTGGGTCTCCACTCCAACCCTCCTCTTTCACACTGATATAATTGTTTGTTTGGGATCTTTTGATAACTAATCCAGTCGATACCTCATGATCACACAAGCTGGTTTGCTTCTTCCATGTGGGCTTTGTTGCTTCCATGGTAAATGGCCACTGCATGCCTTTAAGAACCCAGATGCTTTATCTTCTAATAGCTCTCTTCAGCACATTTGCTTATGCACCCATTTTGTCTTCAGCGATCATGTCAGGAAGGTGAGTAGCAAAGAGTGCCAGGTTATTAGAACATGTTCATGTGCTTAGGGAGGCCTGGAGTAGAGGCCCAAGTCCGTCTTCTATCTTAATACTTAACATATAAATATATGTACACTGGCCACTATTCCTTTCATCATAAATTAATATATTTACATATATACATGCCTACAGCTATACCTCTACAAATAGTTTTTGTCTCCTACTTCTTTCCCCTATTTCTTTTCACCTTCTTCCTGCCCTACCATCATCCTTACCTTCCATTCGGCTCTCAGTAATTCCTCTTGGATACACTGTACTTGACCAAATCCCACCAGATTACGTATGTTGGCTCCCCACTTCCCCTTCTGCCCCATCATCTCCCATCTTTCCCTGGACCACCTGTCCTGTTGTTTTCTCCTTGGGATTGTTTGTCCTGCCTATCTTATATAGATAGATATAGGGTGATAGTTCCAGGTCTGTGTGCTGACCCTTATGAGTGTTTTCCAATGGGGTCTGATGAGGTGCCAAGCCCTGTCCCGAGTCAGAAGTCTGTTTTCAGGATTCCTTGGGGACTTGGTTACTTTGCTCCCTTCGCTGCCCTGTTGCACTCCCTTAGAGTTTCACCCCGCTGTGCATGGGGCAGACTGGGTACACATTCCGCACAGTGTCTCTAGTGCTCTCCACCGTAGCAATATGGGTCAGGGAGGGAGTGTCTTGTCTCGTGGTAGGGTCACCCCTACAGTCCTCTCTGTATTGGCTGTTCCAACTAGAGATGTCATCCCTAGGGCTTACTGGGCCATGATGTGGTCCACTCTAGCTTTCTTTCACAAATAGTTCCACCCATGTGTTCTGGGACAGATGACTCCCCAGCCCCTCTCCCCAGGCTTTATCTTCAGTGCTGTCCTCTGCATTGCATTCTTCTGGAGAGGAAGTCAACATAGCTCACCTCACATGTGTGATTTTATAAGTACAAGGTTCCCTAAATGCTGGGTCAAAGGTCATAGCTATGATGTGAATCAATATTGCAAAATTCGTATCAGCATGCCCTGTTCCCCACAATATAAACAACGTATGCTCCTCAAAACGTATTCCTATAATTTGAATTCTTATAAGACTGATCCACTCTTAATATTTTAAAGAATCATTTCTATTTCCTTTCCTGAAAACAGTTATTATTTGCTTTAAAAAATGGATTGTTACTTCTGCTAAATTTCCAAAGTTCTTTATATATTATGGAAAGTAATATTAGATATGTGTCCAATACTTTTTCTTGTTCAATACTTTTCCTATTTATGGTGATGATATATATGAGGGGGTACCCCCCCAAAAAGGGAAAATGTCCCCCCAAAGCTATGTATTTAAATGTTTTTTACAAAACAACCTTATCGACATTGGGCCTCCACTCAAGTACTCCCTCAACGCAAGAATATTTTCTTCTATTAAATTGGCATTCTATGATGCTCACCTTCCCGACACAATCGCTGAAGACAAAGCGGGTGAATAAG